GTAGTTAGGAATGTTATTTCCAAAACAATGCCAAATATAGTACAAAAACCTCATGTATTTATTGTTTTTGGATGAAAGTAAATCATCATTTCGGATAGCCAATATGCACATGAGGGGTCCTTCTTATTTAACCAATAGGAGAGCTACACGTCGACATTCTAGAATGTTCCCCTAGTGGTGATTGGATGTTTTCGGCTCTATCTGGGCTTCTTGAAATTGCCAACGAGCCTTCCTTACAGAATGTACATCCTGTTTATCCTCTTATATAATCATTGATTTAAATTGCGTTGGTGAATTATGGAATTAAATAAGTCGAATATGAGAATGAACGTTTGAATACTCATATTTCATAAAATCGTTGATTGAGACAAACAAGAGAAGAAACGAAGTTAAGAGAAGCGAGAGAAGCGAAATGACGAGAGATGGAGAAGGCGAGTGAGCTCGCTCGATTTAATCAATATTTATAGTTACACAAAAATAAGTTACAGACATGTGATGAATAGAATAAGAAGTGCACATACATATACTCATCAATTGAAGCTAGACCACCATGGAAAACCTGAAAGCACTGGACGGCCTTTTCGTCCTATTATGGAACTCCTCAGCAGTGAGCATCTGAGATCCCGCCAGGCCATCCAGTGCTTCCAGGTTTTCCATGGTGGTCTAGCTTCAATTGATTCATGATCTCAACTATTAAAATTTGATATTTATTGAAAATCAACTAATTTAGCTAATTAATAAGTGGCTCTGTCTTTAATTTAGTTATCTAGATTTTACCCTAAACTCAAACAAGGAAATATACATGAAATCTCTAGGGTTCGAATCCGTGTTGGTAAGATTTTCTAATAAGGAAAATATGACTATTCAATGTTTTATGATTTCTTAGTTTATGATCATACTTAGACGAGACTATCTTTGTATATTGAGTTCATCATTTGTGATAGGTAGTTATCATAGTTCTGTTGTGGTGTGGGCTACTTATATCCACATAAGTAGTATATAACGATAATCGGGCGTTGAATGTATTTCACTAAGAAATCGATAAGGAAAGAACAGAAACGAAGCGCTATTGGCATGAAAATGCATGAAGAATAATAATCGGAGACTATGGAGTGATATTTGCAGAAGGAATAGTCAAGATTGAGACAATTGATTGATAGTTTGTAAATTAACTGTTTACTGTACGGTTGTCAGATTTTAGTGAGATAGTCTGTAATTGTTGTGTCAAATACATTCAATTGTCACTACTTGTTTTCTTGTTCACTACACTACCAAAATTCTCTCTCATAAGTGTATGAAGATAGTCTAAGGGTGAACTCGAGGAAGCTCTGAGAGCCTCAAAAAGAGCTGAAGATATTCCATCCAATTATCTTTTGGAAGAACATTTCAAAATCTTGACGTATAGCTTACCTATTGCAAAAATGCTAAAAACGATTATGTGCAGATTGGATGACTATAATGATCATTTCACTTTTATATAGTTGAAATCACAAGTCTATTGAAGCTAGACCGCTATGGAAAACCTGGAAGCACTGAACGGCCATTTCGTTCTATTGTAAGACATCTCAACAGTGCTCATTTCACTTTTAATAAAAAAACTATAAATAACTAAGAGTTTTGTATCATATTTGACACTGTTTGGAATTCAAATGGTGGAAAAGATTTGAAGCTCAGGTGGAATACCATTTCTTCTCACTTATCTTCTGTCTTCTCATTTACAACTTGGAAGGTTCTAGCATTCAAGTGATCAAGTCGTACATGGTATATCAAGGATCTAAGCTCTGTATATAACAAAGTGCTAGTTAATCAGCATATGAAAAGAAACTATTTTGGCAGAAGATTTTATCTATTTCATTACTTACATCATTCATACACATGAATGACACGTAATATCATATCATGTGATGAAGGATTGTGAAACAGAGTTATAGAAAGGTAATTTGATGCCAACAAAATTATTCAATAATTAGTGATCATGTGAAAAATATGGTACCAGACATTCCTATTATGCTATTCCAGTTGTCAGGGCTCTACGCTCATGGTATAAATCTGACTTTTTTGTTATTTAAAGAATGGACGATAATTTATAAAGATGTAACGTATTTGCCGATTGTTTCTTTCAGAAGGGTTTTTGTGGAGATTTCAGTATTTTCATTGTTGAAATCATGAGTCAATTGAAGCTAAACCAACATGGAAAACCTGGAAGCACTGGACGGCCGTTTCGTCCTATTATGGGACTCCTCAATGGCAGTGCGCATCCACGATCCTGCCTCACGTGATTCGAACACAGAACCTACCAGTCTCGCTCCAGAGCTCTTCAATTGACTTATGATTTCAACTATGAAAATACTGAAATATCCACGAAACCCCTTCTGATTATAGTCATATGCTCACTAGTGACTGACTTCAAGATACATGTGCTGGAGTTCTAGTGGGAAGCAGTGACCAGTGGAGTTCAACCACGTCCGTTGTGAGATAACAACTCTCTGAAAACAATTGGTGAACGATTGTTTCTTTATTATAACCTGTAATAGTTGGAGTTTAAGAATATCAGAAATGAGATGCATACTACTGATAGCTGTAAATGATAATTGAACAATTTGACGAAGTAAATGTATATGCAAATGGACATTAATGGATTCTAATGTGGTGGTCTAAAGCTAATGAACCCATCATGAGACTTAAATATAACTGGTACTATCTCTAGTAAGGCCACTATTCAATTATAACTAAGGTGAATTGTTTACTAGTATCAGTGCTAAGTTTTATCAACCATTAAGTAACCAAGGTATTCAAGATAAGTATACTCAACTGATTGAATAATCAATGAATGAAGTTGAAAAATGATTATGTAATCATTTATTGAGATAAGATGAGGGTTGAAGATAGACAACAGGAAACTTTAGACCCGGGACTGAGATGTAATCACAATTGATTGATCACTGGGTGATGATCAATGTCATGTGTGTCAAGTCCTTCTTAGTACACCATCATGTTATCTCAACATAGTGCATACAGTGTCGAGCCATCTAGACTAGTGGCCACATTACAACTTAGTTGACGGGATTCGATCTGAACTAAGAAGAATGTGATACACATGACATTGATCACCACCCAGTGATCAATCAATTGTGATTCATTTAAAATTGATCTATAAATTAATTTGAATTGTACTGACTGAGATAATTAAACGTTATCAGTTTCATTGTAAGGATAACTTTAAAATGATTAAGAAATGAAGTATAAATAGAAACAATTAAACTGTATATAGGTCCATGTTTGCCATTACATACTTGTGTACACTTATATTTACTTGATACACTTCAGTGAATCAGTCAGTCAGCTACAATGTAGGACCCGTCACATATACGCATTGATCCAAGATGCCACATTTCACTCATTAGCACAACATGATCAACATCAAATTGATAGAATTAGTCACGTAAATGGTAGTAATATACAAAATATAGATTGTGTATAAGGATGTTATGTAGGAAAAAAGAAGGAATTTTAATCTCAAGGTTTAAGGGAAGGTAAGGAGTGTATACCCTCACATGGAATCCTGACGGTCAAAGGAGAAGAGGAAGACCAAAGAACACATTACGCCGAGAAATAGAGACAAACATGAGAAGAATGAACAAAAACTGGATAGAACTAGAAAAGGAAGCCCAGGACAGAGTGGGTTGGAGAAAGCTGGTCGGCGGCCTATGCTCCATTGGGAGTAACAGGCGTAAGTAAGTAAATCAGTAAGTAAGTAAGTAAGTAAGTAAGTAAGTAAGTAAGTAAGTAAGTAAGTAAGTAAGTAAGTAAGTAAAGAGTGTATACATCGACACCATTGTGATCCTATCTGAGCTATGTCATTCAGAGTCTCCAACCATTGATTACGATAGTCACGTGGACCTCAACCAAGTAGTCTGCATCTACCAACATGGCTCAGACTAGAAGTTAGTGACTTCAAGCACTGGTGCCACCCCTAACGTCTTCCAACCGTCTCCAACACTAGTCAGTATTGCGAGTCGTGATAATCAGTGTTCATGCATACATAAGACTTGGCTCAACTATCTCAGTTGATAAGATTTATAACTGAAGATACACTTTAGTAGTAAATATAAATCCATATCAAAAATTTATTTTTTCTGGTTAGCGTATTTTTAGCGAGTTAGCTTTTCTACGGGATGGGGTCGCTAACCCCATGGCAAACCCTCCTCCTTTACCCGGGCTTGGGACCGGCAGTAACTCTAAAAGAGCTAACTATAAGAAAATTTGGGAAACTTTTAAAGAAATTTGTAGTAAAACTAATGATGCTTTGATTATTTTTTTAGTAAAAATACTTAAGATTTAGTTTGATCTGATTGTTTCTATGTAGCTACTTACTTCTATTTAGGATCCCTTAATAAAACATGAATATAGAACCCCATGTATATAACTGATTTATATATTTTCAAGTTTATTAGTACGCTTAGAAATAGAGACAAACATGAGAAGAATGAACAACAACTGGATAGAACTAGAAAGAAAGGCCCAGGATCGAGTGGATTGGAGAATGCTGGTCGGTGGTCTATATTCCATTCGGGGTAACAGGCGTAAGATTTCGGTGACTTAGTAGTTGAAATCATGAGTCAATTGAAGCTAGGTCATCATGGAAAACCTGAAAGCACTGGACAACCGTTTCGTCCTATTGTGAGACTCCTTAGCAGTGCGTATCCATGATGCCGTCTCACGAGATTCAAACCGAGAACCTATCCGTTTCGCGTGCGAGCACTTAACCGATAGACCACTAAACTTGCCAGCATCCAACGGTGTTCATGTTTAACTTCAACCAATCCATGAAATTGAACAACCATTCACAAATGTCTTCAATAAGTTGGCATCTCCCAACAGACCTGGTTGAAATTCATAGATCCAGTGCTTTCAGCTTTACCATGGTAGTCTAGCTTCAATTGACTCATGATCTCAATAGTAATAATAATAATAAATGGAAATAACTCTTACATACTTACCTTTAAGTTCATAATTAATTCCTTTTATAGATTGATTCATTCCATTTTTTATTTGGCTTAATTCATGATATTCATTCGATATCGTTTTATTAAAATTAGTTCCCATAGATATAATCGATTGAGTACCCGGTGACAAGAATGATTCTTTTGTCTTTATTGATTCTAATATTTTTATTGGTGGTATTTCATTCGTATTCATTATTCTTAAAGGAATTAATGGTGTTTGTAAACCAGCTATTTTACATGAGAAACCATCTACTTGATTAGTATCCATGGTAACAGTATCATTATTACCATTACCCTTATAGGTTAACCATGTTTTAGTTAAATTAGGTATTGTATATTCATAAAATAAATAACCATGATTAGTAATAGATGTACGACATTTAATAAGACTTAATTCATATTCATTAGGACATTGATTTGGTTTTTCACTAATACATGCTGATTGACAATTATGAAAACAAAATTTACCCCATGGTGATAATGGACATTGAAAAAACATACTATAACTATTAAGGATATTTTGGTTGTTATATGCTGAATGTACTTCACATTTAATAATTAATGGTTGATTTAATTGAATTTGTTGAATTGGGGGATTAAAACTAATAGTTAAAGGGGTATCTAATTCAATATCTAATGGTTTATTATATACCATAGTCATTTGATAATAGATGATGAATAGAAAGATTGTTAGAATTATTTCCATCATGAATGGATTGATATGGATAGATCTACTTGGTAACAAGATTCATAATTGAAATAGGGAATTTCAATGATCTGTTTCTTCTTGTTCTATGAATATGGATTGAATATAGAGTATATAGATCTACTTGGAAACAAGATTCGAAATTGATATAGGGAACTTTAATGATTTGCTTCTTCTTCTTCTATGACTAAGAAGAGCGTATAGCAACTAATATTTTTTTGTGTATTTAGTTATTCCAATAATAATTAGTTACTATGTAAGAAAATTTCGACAATAAACTTTCTTCTTTGAAATAGGGAATTTCAGTGATCCACTTCTTCTTGTTCTATGATTAAAGATTGAATATATAGTACATAGATCTACTTGGTAACAAGATTCACAATTGAAATAGGAAACTTCAATGATCTGCTTCTTCTTGTTCTATAATTATGGATTGAATATAGTGCGCATAGCAACTAATATTTTTTTGTGTATTCAATTATTCCATTAATAATTAGTTACTATGTAAGAAATTTTCGAAAATAAACTTCCCCTCCCCCAAACAAGAAACGAAAACAGATGACAATTCTATATTATAGATCCAAGATGTAACGATAAATAAAGTTGATATTTTTTTCTTCTGTCCAGAAAAAGTTATTCACATGTTGTTGATACCACAATAATCATAATCACATAATCATAAAAATAATGATAAGCAACAGAGTTTTGGTTTTTTTTTTAAAAAAAAACAGACTTTACCACACCACACACACACACACACAGGTACAGGTACACACATGCACACATCAGTGTCATCACCAATACCAACTATGATGTGCTTTAAAAACTAACCAATTAATATGTAGTGTAAAAGAAGAAGAAGAAAAAATAATAATAAACGATGCGTAGGCGTCCGGTATATCATGATGTATTGAATGATCATTTGCTTATTTTTCATAGTTGAAATCATGAGTCAATTGAAGTTAGATCATTATGGAAAACCTGGAAGCACTGGACGTCCATTTTATCCTATTAAGGGACTTCCTATTGCTTATCATTGCTTATTATTTATAGTTGGACAGTTGCAATATTAAGAAATGGTAACATTGAATGTGACATTTTTAATTTCTTAGATGAATTGAACATGAACAGAAGAATGTTATGTGTGACCAATCCTTCTTAGTGTAGATCAAATTGCAATGTGGTCACTAGTCTAGATGACTCGACATTACATCTATCTGTTTCTATGTAGTTTCTTATTCAGCCCTATTGATGAAGTATTGAACGTATGGTTTTTACTTACTTACTTACATAAATACATACATACATACATACATACATACATACTTACTTACTTACTTACTTACTTACTTACTTACTTACTTACTTACTTACTTACTTACTTACTTACTTACTTACTTACTTACTTACTTACTTACTTACGCCTGTTACTCCCAATGGAGCATAGATCGCCGAACAGAATTCTCCAACCCACTCTGTCCTGGAACTTCCTCTCTAGTTCTATCCAGTTGTCGTTCATTCTTCTCATGTCTATTTCCATTTGTAGGCGTAATGTGTTCTTTGACCTTCTTCTTCTCTTTTCACCTCCAGGATTCCATGTGAGGGCTTGTCATGTGACGCAGTTGACTGCCTTCCTCAATGTGTTTCCTATACACTTCCATCACTTCTTTCTGATTTCTTCCTCCACTTGAATCTGGTTTGTTCTCTCCCACAGTAGAATGTTCCTGATAGTGTCTGGCCAACGGATCCGAAGTATCTTGCGTAGACAACTGTTAACAAACACCTGTATCTTTTGGATGATGACTTTCGTAGTTCTCCAGGGTTCCATCGCATACAGTAGAACTGTCTTGACATTCGTATTGAAAATTCTGATGTTGGTGTTGATTGACAATTGTTTTGCATTCCATATGTTCTTCAGTTGAAAACATCTTGCTCCTGCTTTGCCGATCCTCGCCCTCACATCTACATCAGATCCACCGTGTTCATCAATGATGCTGCCCAGATATGTAAAGGTTTTCACATCCTCCAAAGTATGGTTTTTACATTTTGCCAAATAACTGTGTAATTTTGTATTGAAATACATTTGATTGTCTATACTTGTGTTCTCGTTTATTGAACTATGACTGAGAGAACCATTAGATCGTATTTTTCCCCTTTCAAAATATCGATGTTTTATGAAGGATAAACTATCAAAGATTTTGGGTTGCATCTCCTTATGAACACATAGATTCGACTTCGTACTTGGTCCGCATTGACCATTATACCATCCTCGTACTTGATTAAACTGACAATAGCATGATTTTGGGGAAGAATACCATGCTGAACTGTAATCTTTACAACCATCTAAATTGATTCAAGAATGAAGAAATGAAAATTGAACGATAAATAATCGTTGTAATGAGGAAAATTGAAAAATCAATAAATGCTTTGGTGATTTTTGTTTCCATAGTGAATGAACACTCAGATGGCGACAATCAATTTATTTTTAGTACATACACAATCACTTGGTACTATACAAGAACCCTAAAATTGAATACTTCCAATGCAAAATTCCGTTTTTGTTTTCTTCAATTTGAACTTTTGATGTGTGGACGAGAATGATAATGATTAGTTGTTTTGCTGAGTCAGACATGTAGATAATCTGACAGGTGTCAGATGAGTTAGATATTCTCCGAACCTTATTATTATTGTTTGACTGTTCCTTGTTGTTGGATTGTGTTAGATTTTGGTGTGGAAATATATTGACGTTCTAGTCAGACTAATCTCGTGTTCTTGATCTGAGTTGTGTTGAAGTCCTGTAAAATAGACACTGGGTGGGAATCTAGTGTAGATATTCGTCTAATGGTAAATTAACGTCCCACATACGTGTAAAAAGTGAGAGGACTGTTATAACAAAAAATCCTAGAATTATAACAAATATCCTACTTTTATAACACCTTTATAGCCTACTGTAATCATGCATTTCTCTACTGAATGGTGTAACATACTACTTATATCTGTCGATATAAGTAGCATACAGCACATTTTCATTACAGAACTGACAAATCACATTTACCTATATGACTTTGATGTTTATGTTTTTTTGTAAGATCTAAACTTCATGATTTCTTAATTTAAAAAACAGATCCACAACTGATCTCAATATGAACTTGAAGGTAAACAAATCACTAAGATCCTTTTTCAAAGTAGATCAAAAATAATTATATTTCATCACCATTATTTTTTTATTTGAACACAAAAGGATCGATACAAAGGGGTACCGAATACATATGCGTCAGTTATAAGTTAGCAGTTCAGTAAATTATTATCCAAATAATGTAGATTTCTTTCGCTGTATATTGCTAGCAACCACGATATCTCTCATTAGTCTCTTTTATAACTTGTACAACGAAAAGATGTACACTTTTCATAAACTCACTATGGTAAATTATACGATTAATAACTATAATGATGTATTAAAACATACAAATTTAGATAGCTTGCTAAAATATCTAGATATGAAGAAGAGATACCCCAAATGTTTAAGAAGGCCGCCGCTATTGCTGTCTAATTGTTGATTGTTATAACTTGAAACCGACTCGATTCCCTGTTAATGTATGATGTCATGATACCGCCAATTCGAGAACAGTGAATTATCGATCGGACCAATCATACATGAAACTCGTACGAGCAGTCTACAGTACTCATCGGTCCTACTTTCTGCCTAACCCAGTCAGTGAAGTCCAAAATACCAATAACAGCCTCAGCAATATGAATCATTATATTTCAAACATATTGAGTTTATATACCAATCAAACAGATCACATCACACCATAAAATAGCAAATAACATTTGTACAAGATGTAGCCCAAAGTGGCTGTGAATGTGGGGGACAGTAATTAATAGACTGGGTCATAACTCAAGAATGGTAAATCGTACAATAATAATCTATAGATCAAAATAAAGCTTATAATAAGGGGAATATGAATATTTATAGTTTGGTTACATAACAATTATACATTAGGAAATACACATATCGTATTGGTTCATAAATAGATCCCAACAATTACTATTCATTATCCTTATCGGGGCATTGTACAAGTTGAAAAGTATCATGTATAGTAGTATACTTAAATACTTATCTTCAAACTGATTGTAATTTCTTCCACTAATCATTATACCTTGTTCATATTATCGTATATATATAGGGTCAATTACATAATTAAATAATCTAATATAATATGTTCACTCTAGTATAGTCAGTCAGTCAACTACAACGTAGGACCAGGCACATATATATGCATCGATCCAAGTTACCATACCTCACTCATTAGTAAAACAAGATGAACACCGGATTCATAGAAGTAGTTAATTTAGTGGAGATTATATATATATAGGGATATAGTATAGGAAGGAAGACACATATGACCTGAATATATTCAATTCTAGACTTCTATAAAACAGAAAGGTACTAACTGAATTCAACTTTGACAATGTAATAGAATAAGGAATTTATAATGAATATATCAGTCGAATCATAAAAAGATAATAATTATAATGGTAACATTATACTATAAGGATACATAGAAAACAGAAGAACATTATAGAAATAAGTAGTTAAATTAAAGTAGTATCATGATTTAATTAGGTTATAATCAGATCAATTTTAATGTTTAAGATGTTATAACTTGTAGCCTTATGACCTATTCATATATAATAACTTAATGATATATCATTGTTATGTCTTGGTAACAACGGTGAATAGTAACTAAGGGACCTGTTTATGGACTAATATTATGTGTATATTTTTGATTGTATATTTGTTAACTAGCTAAACTATTCAAATATACATCCCCCTTATTATAAGCTTTATTTTGATCTATAGACTATTATTGTACGATTTACCATTCTTGAGTTATGACCCAGTCTATTAATTACTGTCCCCCACATTCACAGCCACTTTGGGCTACATCTTGTACAAATGTTATTTGCTATTTTATGGTGTGATGTGATCTGTTTGATTGGTATATAAACTCAATATGTTTGAAATATAATGATTCATATTGCTGAGGCTGTTATTGGTATTTTGGACTTCACTGACTGGGTTAGGCAGAAAGTAGGACCGATGAGTACTGTAGACTGCTCGTACGAGTTTCAAGTATGATTGGTCCGATCGATAATTCACTGTTCTCTAATTGGCGACATCATTAAGTTATATATTAACAGGGCATCTCTTGATATTAGCTCTCTGTTCACTAGTGTACAGTTAATAAATACTATATCAGTCAGTCAGCTACAACGTAGGACCAGGCACATATATGCATCGGTCCAAGTTGCCATACCTCGTTAGCACAACAAGAGGAACACCGGATTCATAGTAGTTAATCTAGTGTTGGTAGTAGTATGTAAATTATAGGTTGTATATAAGGATATAGTACAGGAAGGAAGAGAGATATGAAGCAATTTTAGTCTCAAGGTTTAAGGGAAGATAAAGAGTGTATACACCTACGCCATTGTGATCGATTCTCAGCCATGTCACACAGAGTCTCCAACCATTGGTTACGATAGTCACGTGGACCCCAACCAGGTAGTCTGCATCTGCCAACATGGCTCAGGCTAGAAGTTAGTGACTTCAAACACTGATGCCATGTTTTGGTTTGGCCGCCCCTAACTCTCTTCCAACCATCCCCAATACTAGTCATCATAGAGCGTCGTGGTAATCGGTGTTCAGGCATACGTAACACATGGCCCAACCATCTCAGTCGATGAAGGTTCATCACCTCATCAACTGATTTACCATCGTTCCCTAATA